CTCTCCATGTCCTGAACTTGAAGAACAAAGCAAGGATTTCTGGGAAGAAAGAGGAGACCTCTGGATTCGACACCATGTTCAACCTCGACATCTACTCTTTCATCCAGGAGCAGCAACCGGTGGACCTCAGCTTCATGAACTAGAGGCAGCACGAGCAACTTGGATTGACGACGAACTCTTTGAGGACACCTGGAATCGTCGAGAAGATGTTCGAAGACATGGTGAAAGCATCTGGAAAGGGCACACAGTTTTCATGAAAAAGAAGTCAAAGACCAGATTGGAAATCCATGAAAAGTTTTTGCAAGTTGGACGAACTCATAGCCAAGGAGGCCACATCGTCTTTGCATACCATCAGGATCTAGAAGTAGATCAAGCTCCTCAACCAATTTCTATCCTGGGATGGAAGAGCTATAAGTTGAAAAGATGCACGGTGAACACTTTAGCTGCCGAAGCCCAGGCCATGATCTATGGGATTGGAGCCTCCTACTGGATTCGATTCATGTGGTCGGAGATCAAAGGCCTTCGAATGAACCTAGCCAACTGGCAACAGCAGATCGGAAGGACCCCCTTCATTGCCGTCACAGATTCTCGTTCGCTGTTCGACAATTTGAGCAAGTCGACTAACATTGCATCGCACGTGGATGACAAGCGGACAGCCATCGATTTGACGATTCTGAAGAATGACTTGCAGCACACAAGAGGACAGCTGCGATGGGTGGCGGGGGAAATCATGATTTCGGATGCCCTTACTAAGAAAGGTCCTGCTAGCTTTTTGAGGGGAATCATGAAACTTGCGTACTGGACCTTGTTCGAAGTCGGAGCCAAAGAGCTCAAAACGCATTTCAGCCAACATAAAGTAGGAGCGATGTGAATTCCGTCTCCTGTTGGCTGAAACGCACAAACGAGAAGTGTACAAAAGCAAGCCACGTACGCCGTGGCTCAAGTCGGGGCAAGGACCCTGTGGCTGGCGGAAAAATGTCCGTCAGGTTTGATCCATACTATCACATCCTCTATTCCTTTCACGACCTTGATATTATGACTTGGAGTAAAAAGAGACGGCAATGGTGGTTTCCTAACCTTGAAGAGTATCAGTATTACTATTTTAGACACCGACCATTCAAAATAAAGGACATTTTGGACATTTTCTTGCGTGAATACCTCAAAGAACTCTTCAGATACTATGAGCACTATAGACTATATCAACGAACCAAAAATAGAAGAGCGCCTACAAAAGGTGATAAACACTTAAAGAAACATTATTTGTCTCTCTCTCTCTCTATATATATATTAAGAGAACAATGACAAGTGCTAAAATTTATGATATGAGTAAAGTATCAGAAAATTTAGGGTTGTATATTGAAGTTGGTTAGTGATAGTGACATCATGGACTTCATCAAAAACAACCCCTTTCCAGACAGATATACATTTATAGACATACAGTTAGAGACAGTGAGAAAAGACAATCAACAGGTATCAAAGTCTTCGGAACGACTTGTAATTATAGGATATTGAAACAACTATATGAACACATCATGAATGAGGATATAGTCCGAGAATGCGGTAGAGAACTATATGAAAAGGATGGTATGCGTGATATGGTGAGATGTCATACCTTATTTAACGAAATCATACACTATAACTACAACAAAGGAGACAACAAAGAAAACTACGATAGAACGATGATAATACCATTAGCGAGGTTGGTTGAACACTACTGGGATGGAATAGGAATGTGGAAAGCGTAAAACACGATTAATTCATAATATCTTAATAAAACATATTATTGACTAATCCCTTAAACCCAAACCCCCAAGAAAAAACAAACGAACCTAAACAAGTCTTAACCTCATCCATTATCACCGAACAGAGTGATTTTTAGCACCAAATTTTCCCCAGAAACCCCATAGAGAATCATTACAAAGCCTCAACAACAAAAATTTTCAACGAGGCGGTTGATGAACAAGAACTCCCCAGAACCCCCATTTTACAATTTTTTTCACCCCGTGTTCTGGTGGCACATTCTGGGGTGGGGCCAACTCTTCGCTCTCTGAGGCATTGCCAAGACCTGGGCTTTGACCCGGGCCCTAGGCCAGAGCAGTCTGTGTGAGTGCCAAAGCAGCACCGACTCGTCACTCGGGTGGTTCACCGGGTGTGTGGGATCGACAGAGAGCTGAAAATGGCACGAAGAGCAAAGCGTTTTCCTTTGGAGGCTTACAGAACTCCACCTTGGATTCTTTGGTCTCCATGCCGGGTCCAACATTTTGGTAGGGTTCTCCAAGCTAGAGGTTCTCATTTTTTCACGGGGATTTGACCCCTTGGCCCACACACCCAGTGATTGAGCCACATGGATCTACATGGATTGCCATGGGCATCTGGTCACGTCACACTGCCAACGCAGCAGCTCCCCCAAATCGGGGAGCGATCGATGGCCAAAAGGTGGGGATCGATGTGTTCGCGCGCGGCGCGAAGTGGTGCTTCATCCTTGGGGGCTGATTACTCACCCGCCCCTGCTACAACATGTTACAACTGGAGTTCCTTTTTTCACCAACAGTGGAAGCTTGGGGTCTCAGCCAAACTAGGCACTGGCGCACTGTGGGGCAGTCATCCGGTGAGGTTCCCTGAGGTTCCGAGTGAAGGTTCCGAGGTTCCAAGTAAAGGTTCCCAGTCAAGGTTCCGAAGGTTCCGAGGTTCCAAGCGAAGGTTCCGTGTCAAGTGTCCAAAGAGTTCCAAGTAAAGGTTCCACGTAAAGGTTCCGAGCGAAGCCTCCGAAGGTTCCAAGTGAGGGTTCCGAGGTTCCAAGTAAAGTTTCCAAGTGAAGGTTCCGAAGGTTCCAAGAGAGGGTTCCGAGGTTCCAAGTAAAGGTTCCGAGTGAAGGCTCCGAAGGTTCCGAGGTTAAGGTTCCGTGTCAAGTGTCTCAAAAGTTCCAAGTAAGGGTTCCAAGTGAAGGTTCCGAAGGTTCCGAGGTTCCAAGCAAATTTTCTGTGTCAAGTTCCAAGTGAAGGTTCCGAGGTTCCAAGCAAATGTTCCGTGTCAAGCTGTCAAGTGTCCAAAAAGTTCCAAGCTTAAGGGTCCAAGTGAAGGTTCCGAAGGTTCCAAGTGAGGGTTCCGAGGTTAAGGTTCCAAGTAAAGGTTCCGAGCGAAGGCTCCGAAGGCTCCAGGTTCCGTGTCAAGTGTCTAAAAAGTTCCAAGTAAAGGTTCCAAGTGAAGGTTCTGAAGGTTCCGAGGTTCCAAGCGAAGGTTCCGTGTCAAGTGTCCAAAGAGTTCCAAGTTAAAGTTCCAAGTGAAGGTTCCGAAGCTTCCAAGTGAGGGTTCCGAGGTTCCAAGTGAAGGTTCCGAAGGTTCCAAGTAAAGGTTCCAAGTGAAGGTTCCAAGTGAAGGTTCCGAAGGTTCCAAGTGAGGGTTTCGAGGTTCCAAGCAAAGGTTCCGAGTGAAGGCTCCGAAGGTTCCGAGGTTAAGGTTCCGTGTCAAGTGTCTAAAAAGTTCCAATTAAATTGGTAAAGCTTCCAATTGAAGGTTCTGAAGGTTTGGAGGTTCCAAGCGAAGGTTTCCCTGTCAAGTGACCAAAGAGTTCCAAATAGAGGTTCCGAGTGAAGGTTCCGAAGGTTCCAAGTTGCCAACACCGAGTGTGCACCAAGTGTGCCCAGCCCAACCTCACGCAAAGCATGCCCTCAGCATGTTCCTGAGCGCGCGCTGCGCCTCTCTCTCTCTCTCTTTGATGACCTGGGCACACCGCCCACATGGCGTCCGCACTCGTGGAAAAAAAACTCTCTCTCTCTCTCTTTCAATTTCTCTTTCTCTGTCTTTCTCTCTGCAGAGCGCGCTGTGAGCGCGCCTTGCTGGAGCGTATTTCAGAGCGCGCCAGAGCGCGCCGTCCAAAGCACACACGCGCTCGCCCTGCTGTCTTTCTTTCTTTCTTTCTTTCTTTCTATCTCTCTCTTTCTGCCTTTCTCTTTCTTTCTTTCTTTCTTTCTTTCTGTCTTTCTGTCTCTCTCTCTCTCTCTCTTTCTCTTTAAATTTCTCTTTCTCTGTCTTTCTCTCTGCAGAGCGCGCTGTGAGCGCGCCTTTCTGGAGCGTATTTCAGAGCGCGCCAGAGCGCGCCGTCCAAAGCACACAAGCGCGCGCACGCGCTCGCCCTGCTGTCTTTCTTTCTTTCTTTCTCTCTCTCTTTCTCTATCTCTCTCTTTCTGCCTTTCTCTTTCTTTCTTTCTTTCTTTGTTTCTTTCTTTCTTTCTTTCTTTCTGTCTCTCTCTCTCTCTCTTTCTCTTTAAGTTTCTCTTTCACTGTCCTTTTTCCGCAGAGCACGCTCTGAGCGCGCCTTTCTGGAGCGTATTTCAGAGCGCACACGAGCGCGCCGTCCATCGCGCACTGCTTGAGACTGACATGCCTCCGAGTTTCGCGCACTGCTTGAGACTGACATGCCTCCGAGTTTGGTAACAAAATTTTTTCTGACTTCAAGGGTGGGGCAGGGCGGCCGAATCTGAAACATCCACTTTGCCTCACTTGCTGTTGGGGTTTTACTTGGGCTTATTTTCTTTGTTCTTAAAAACAAAGCTTGACACAACAGAGGGCTGCATGCCTTATTGGCCCAAACATTTGGCATAAGAGATGGCAGAAGAATTCTTGCCCCAGTTGTGTTGAAACAGGGAGGGCACACCACTTGGGTGGAAAGGGCAGCTGAATGAACGATGGACGCAACAGCCCAAGCATGATAGCATCGCTCAAATAGCTTTGAGTGCCTTTTGAAAGACCACGACTTCCATCGCTTGATCGGTTTGTGGGTGCCAATTCGACTGGGCCCTACATCGGTTTTTTGGTTTGGACCGAGTTTGGGTCCACCTGCAGGGACCTCCCGAATGACTCGGTGAAGCTGCCCCATCCGAACGGAGCCATTTTGGACCAGTGACCCAGCAGCGGCAATGGATGGAAGCAAGGTATCTCCAGCCCACAGAAGTCAGATTGCGTCACCAAGTTGGTACAGGCAGCTGTTTTTGCGCGGATGAAAAGCTTTCAGTCCAGGTCTAGTTCGCGAAGAGAGCTCTTGATTCAATTGGCTACGACGCAAGACACACATGGATAGATCCAAGAAGGCCTGATGCTGTCTGCCGTCGGGGTTCCCAGAGCTCCCATCAGAGAGTCGGGCGAATCGGGCGCTCCTTTATAGCCCGTTTTTTGAGCGAACGCACTTTTCATGGAACGTGTCAAAACCATCAGAGCACAGACAGTTTCAGATGCTACTCTTGGATCACAGAGTAAGAAGGGAGGTTGCTTTCCCTCATGACATGATCCCACATGCTTGGTATTCTTTCTGCCACGAACGGCAGCGGCATAATTAGGTGTCACCCAGCGGCAAAGGAGGACTGCTGGAGTGGTGCTGCATGGGAAAAAGGGCACAGTAGAACCAGAGTGTTTGATATGGATTGGACGACAGGCTCCAAACTCAGGGCTCCATGATGGGTCCAGTCTTGGCACCCGTTCGTTTTTATTCCTGAAGAGCTCCACAGAAAGAACACAACACATAAACACACACACACACACACAGGAACCACTCACCACCCGGTGAACCAGGCCGGGCCACCCCGATGCCAGGCTCTCACACGGTTTGGGGTCGACCCGAAATCTCCAGCTCCAGCGAGCCGGGCTCCGAGGGCCTCAAGGTCTTTGCCCGGGAGCCCGGAGCAGCGGGGTCTGAGCGGAGGTCCTTAGACCCACCAAAGGAGGCCAAAGGACGTGTGGTTGGAGGATGTTCGATGCTTTTTGTAATGATTGGATCCGAGTGATCATTACGGCGGAGAACTCTTTTACATGACGCGAGGTGAGGTTGTTTGGTGTTCTGCGCTGATAAGAGGGGCAAAGTCGGGTTTCCGGAGCTGAAGATTGACAGCATTTGATGATCATGGAGTAACCTGACCAACTCAACTGTTTCGGACATGGCAGTCCTTCTGTGGGCTTGCACATGTTCTCCATGACAAGGAGCTACATTCATTCATATCAATCTATTAGGGCTTTGGTTGGACTTTGCCTTCTTTTGGGACTTGGTATGATGACTTTTCCATGCGCCAAGCGCTGCTCGACTCACTCTTCACTCCTCGCACTGTGGATCGCCCAGGGAGGAACTGCCAATGCGTACGGCATGAGTCCATCAGGGAGCAGCGAAAACCGCCAAAGTCCTCATAACCAGAGGCGCGCGACGCGCGTTTCTTTTTCTGAAGAGGTGCAAGACCACATCAAAAGCCAAGACAGGGGGCACTCGGTTGATTTGGTTGGACGTTTCTTTGAGTACTGGAGGGTCCAAGGTGCTTTGACTTTCAGAGTGCCGAAGTCCATCCGAGCCCGTTTTTTTGTATGCCTCCGCAGGTGCTGGGGCGGAGCCGACACGTCCGGTACCCTTTTTTACATGTCCCGACTCCAGGAGTCGATACATGGCGGACGCTCAGAGACAGTTCTCCGCGGTGGCCCAGCGAACGCCCAATGAGGACCGGGGAGGGGGACGGGAGGGGGACGGGAGGGAAGGAGTGTCTTTTTATTTCTTTATACATGTATACACACATATTATATATATGATATGTATACGTACACCCCTGGAGGTCAAAGATTTGGTTTTGTAGTGTAAAACCCGTAATGGTTGTTCGGTAAAGGCTATTAAAACAATTGTTGTTCGACTTCTAGGGTAATATGTTATAGTATAGTATAATATATGTATATGTATCTATATATTTGTTCGATCGTTTTTCATGTTGACGACGATGCAGAATGTGGGGGGAGTACCTAGATGGTTGGTCAATTGTGTCGGCGCTTGTTTCATCATACTTTTGTTGTCTCAGACTCCAGAAGTTTTGTCCAGCCGGACAAGTGAACCAACTCAGGGGAGCACCGAGTATGTGGTCCTTGCGCAAGAAAGACCCGACATTTGAAGATCTTCTCCGCCTTTCTCAGGAGCGGAAGAAGCTCCAGCGCAAGGTGGCCAAGCCAGAACCCGAATCCACCGCCACTCGGCCAAGCTTTCATGGAAGGGGGAGAGATCTCGGGGCTGTTTGGCTGAACGTGGTTTCGTCGTTGGTGCTTTTCAGAGGGAGATGGTTGGTTCAAAGAGAATGTCACAGGAGGAGGCTTGAAGTGGGACGTGCCAGTGATCATTACGGACGGGAGCAGACCGTGCAAGTGGCACCTTTTTGTAGGAGTTCACTGGGTTCATTCATGACTGCTGATTCTTGAGCAAAGACGGGGATCTCCAACCATCTCCACAGGCCGAAAAAACCCTTGGCCCAAAAGACGTGGATCTCCAGTGACATCATCCATCAGTTCTTGTTGCTGCACGCCCACTGGGCGTTCGCTCTCCCTCCAAGGAGTCGGAGAGCTCCGAAACGCCCGAGGGTGGGAGCCCCGTGGTGAAATCCAGCACCGGCAGCAGCAAGCTTAAGAAGGAGTCGTTGGGCCTGGAGCACCGAACGGGAACGCGACAGACCGAGCTTTTGAAACAGACAGACACGTCGTGACGACGTGGTGTGCGAGGAGTCGCCAAGTACTTACATGGGTGGAGTCAAGGCTGGGATGGAGAAGGGGGAGGGAGGTCTCTGGCAGGTCCAGCAGCTGCTTCCCAGTTTGGGAGAAGAGTTTTGCCGGGTGACCGAACATTCAAGACTCTATGCCTTCTATGCCGTTGGACAGCCGAGAAGTCAGTCTGATCCAAGTTGATTCGGGAGCGACACCGCCCGGCTTTTTTTGTGTTGCCTTGTCTTCGCCTTCTTGTCACGGGATCCAGCTTGCCCCGTCCTTGCCCGTAGCGCCGTCTCTGCTCAGGGCGACTTCGACACCTTCTACAGGAAGATGAAGGCCAGTTGCCACGCGAAGAAAGGCCTACTTGAGGCTGCGGTGATGATACACCCGACCTCTACATCAGACAGTGTGTGCCCACAATTCTCTTGTGTAGTTCCAATGTTGGTACCGAAGCCTTGAACCTGTTGGCCATAGGAAGAGGGAGTCAAGTAGATCCAAAGCATACCTGCATGAAGGGTCCAAGTTTTCTTGGTGGCCATTCGCCAAAGTCCCCACCTATGTGCATGGTCATGGACCTGAGTTTCCTTTGTCGACGAGCACGATGATCGTCAGTTGCCTTAAACCTGATGGCAAGGCTTGCCGCCTGCACCAGTGACTCCATGTCGGAAGATCAACCAACTCTTCATTTTCCCTTTCGGGGCAGTTTCACTCACAGTTTCCGGCGCAGCCTACCACCAGTCGTTGGTTTGATAGATGGAAGACAATGAGACTTTCTTCTCGTGATTCTGTGGCACTCTGGGAACCTCGCTCTCATCCAACCAACGAACAAATGGACCAACCAATTGAGATCACATCCCCGATGCGCACGAGAAAAATTGAGGCGCTGGCCAGAGCGGCTCGGGAGCAAGCTGCCCGCGAGGATGCACTGCATGGCGTGCCTCCCAGGCGGGAACACGCCCACAACAATACATATGCATATATAAGAGGTTCGCAAACCGGCGATGCCATAAGGGTTGTTGTCGCTGTCCCTGTTGATGTTGCTGTTGTTGGTTATGTCATTTGAGGCCTAGAACATATTGTTGGCGCGCTCGTCGCGTGCAGGCGATGGCACTCTGCAAAGAACACCGGTATTTTGCTAGTTGTTTTCCACTAGGGTCAAAGAACACGGTAAATATCATCGTTGTTGATCGTGAACAAGCAAAACACATAGTTTCTTACAGTGTTTGTTACGTGTTTGCTGCCCAAAACGTCGATGTTGACGTGGTTTTGAGAATGTTGCTAACAGTGACATTTTAATTGAACAATAGCGAACACACTTGCGACGTTCTTGTTCGAACACCGCAAACTTTGATCCAACATTGATCAAACATGCTCCAAAATCAACCTTGGAAGCAGAAGCAGCTCCAATTAGCTTTTTCCGGCCAAGGCCGATATTAGCTTTTGATTATATATGCAATGACTGGTAAGCGAGAGACGCGGTCCAGAGGCAACAACATGTGAAATCTTATTGGTGTTATTTCTTTCTGGCAAGGGATTGATGCAGAAATGCGGGTGGGGTCGGTGGCAGGGGCACGCCCCCGGTATAGAAAGCTAGCTTGACCATGCTACCAAAAACAGCATCGCCGGATTTAGGCTGCCGCGCCTAACCGGCCCTCACAGGCCCGCCGTCTTGCCACGCCGAGTGCCGTGGCTTTCTGGCTTTCTGGCGTCGAAGTCGAAGTCGACTTTCATGTCTCTCGAAGTCGACGCCTCGGACCTGCTTTTGGCAGCACGGCCCTCGCGGCCCGTCTCGCCACAACTCACAAGTTCCACGCAGCCCCTCCGCTCACGGCCAAACCTTAACGTCTTCTGACGCCGGTTCCAGTCGGCTTCTATGCCCTGACACCTCTCTTTGGCAAGCTGCGTTTAGCACAATTTGCATGGCCCTCACGCCTCGCCCCGTTAACCAATCGAATTCCATGTGAAAAGTGGTCCCAGCAGGCCAACCGTCGCTTCCTGCCGAATGAAGTCGACTTCCATTGACATAAAGACAACGCAACAGTATTTCACAACGAGCCGAAGACCATCCAACCGCCGCTGGTAGTTGAGGTTCAAACTAAGACCCAGAGCAGATGAACGCAACCGAATGCAAGGGTGAACGGGATTGTTGTTGTGGTAATTTGAACTGGTTGCGTGAACATGGAAAGCTCCTGGTTGTGTGAATTTGGTCTTTGGCAGGCATGCTTCATTCGATCTTCCGATTAAGACTTTGCTTTCAGCATGTGTTAGTCACAAAGCCTGAGCCAAACATCCTGCACGACCAACAGTGTTGAGAATAGACCTTGGAGCTAAAGAATTGGCTGGATGGGTACTTGTATGGCCCGCACTTGGTTCTATCCACCGGTGTTCCGTGTGGCTGGGCCTCCCGGGTTGGAGCCACTGAACGTTCGTCCGTCCAGGCCATGGGATCCGACGGCCCCCTTGGAAGAATTGAAGAAGCTCCTGGTGGAGCAGAACTGGGAGGCCAGGAGTAGTGTCAGGGCGATCCAATTGGAGGGGCAAGTTCCAAAAGAGGACTGGAGTTCTTTGGCAGCATGTCTACAGGACCATCTTCATAAATCATGAATGACACAAAGGAGTAAGCCCAAATCCAAGCAACCCAAAGCCAAGTCCAAACCGCCAAGCTCCACTGTTTTTCAGTCGTCCTTCCTTTTGGCAGTGCGTTTTTGGTTTCAGACACCTTCGTAAGACGGGCGGCTCCCTCAGGGGGTGCGCGCCTGGGTGGAAGAGGGCGACGACATGGACTCCGAGGGCACGGACGAAGGAACCGAACTCCTCGAGGGCGAAAAAGGCCCGCGGCTCCGGCGGCTCCCGGACCGGGGTTTTGGGCTTTCGAAGATACGAGAAGGGGATTGATCAGGAGACGGTGCAGGGTCGGCCCAACAGCGGGGTGATGGGGTATCTGCGCAGCAGATGAATCAGACCAGGTGGATCCACTCAGCTGACCAGGTGAGTGGTCCTTGGGCTCGGAGAAACACAAGATGGGGCAATGCAGGCCTGGGAAGGAGGGTGAGGTGTGGGGAGGACGGGCCACCAAGAGATTGACCTCTATGCCCTTTTTTGGGTTTGAGGAAGTCTGAGCTTTTGGGTTTGAGCATTGAGCAAGTGTTTTGGTCATGGAGTCATCCGGACCTCCAATGTCTGCTGACGTGGGCCATAGTTTGTCGCCCAGGCCCTGTCACTACGCGCGTGCCCAAGCATTTGCTGGTTTGCTTTGCATATTGATAGATAGTCAAAGACTAGTGACTAGTGGAATGACTAGTGACTAGGGCCGTTTTCGTCGTCGATGGTCTTTTGTTGAGGTCTTTTCCAAAACGGGATGTCAGAACGGCAAAACGCGCGGGTCCCTGGATACGCACACTCGCGACAAAACGGTGGGAGGCGGGAGGGTGCGGGAAAGAGGGGCGGAGCCTCGTCTGTACACGCCGAATTTCCCTCGAATGTACACGCGGAGAATTGATCTCGTTTGTGCACGCGAAACTCGGATGTGCACGCGGCTTCCTCGGCTGTACACGCGGCTTACACGGCTGATAAAATGAATGAATGAATGAATGAATGGAACCCGACCAGATTGTTTCACAATCTGAACCTTGTTGTCTCATTTTACGTCCATCGCTTTAGATGCGCTGTTTGGGCTGTCAGATCCGTGGACGGGCACAGCGCGCAGACATGCGAGCTTTCATGCGGAACATGTGTCGTTATGATTTCGACAGGAAGTCACGTTGTTAAGTACCTTCACCTTAACACGTCACCCCATCCCAACCCAACATCATCAATCAAACGCAGAGCGTCTGTGTGACGTGAACCTGTGGAAGCAATG